AGGACCCGGCCCCGCCTGGATCACATGCCTTACACTTGTGCCCAAACATATGAAGTACACATTGTGCAGATGAAGTAGCATTGGCAGCCCTGCAAGAACCAGGGCTGGGAGTGGGAGCAACAGCTCCCAGAATCAAGTGGCTGTTATTCCCAGAAGGGAGGGCAAAACAGATATTCTCCTTAATCACTCTGATTGTAATGACTGCACAGAACAGAAATCATGCATAGAAATTGGTATCTTGGATTCTACTGCCAAGTTCTTAGGTTCTAGATTTAGAACTCCTAAATTGTCAAAATTTTCTGCTGACTCTGAGAATCTCTCTGTTGTGCCCATAGTCCAAAGAGAAAAAAGAGATGATATAGGTTCCTCTTTGGGGAGTCAGGGTAGGAGCAGACAGAGGAAACAGCGTGAAAAAGCAATTGAGGAGAATGGAGAACAAGTTTACCAGGAAACTGTAGTATGATTGTCAGACAATGCTGATGGAGGTGCTATAAACCTAAATGTTTGTGTCCCACCAAAATTTATGTTGAAACCTAATTCCCCAATATGATGATATTTGGGGTGGGGCCTTTGGGAGGTGATTGGGTCATAAGGGCAGAGCCCTCATGAATGGGATTAGTGCCCTTGTAAAAGAGCCCTCAGTGAGCTCCGTTACCACTCCCTCCATGTGAGGACACAGCCAGTAGACAGCTGTCTATAAACCAGGAAGCAAGGTTCACCAGACACTGAATCTGTCAGCACCTTGACCTCAGACTTCCTCGCCTTAAGAACTGTGAGAAATAAATGTCTTGTTTAAGCTACCCTCTCTACGGTAGTTTTTTATAGCAGCCCAAATGGACTAAGACAGTAGGTAATCATGAATGTATAGTAGATCCAATTTGTCTTACATGACTTTTTCTCTAGCAGTATTTGGCTGGTGGGGTGCAAACATGGAAAAACTGGATTGTGGCTTCATAACAGGGTGGAGGAATTTCTTTGAATTTTCTATGTAAGGTAAAAATGCAGATGAAAAACAAAGTTCAGGGTATTGATAGAGAATGTTACGTCTAGTAATAGAATAGATTGTAGAATCTCAGCTGGATACAAAGAGACACAAAGAAAGGCAGGCTCACGGATTGGGAGAAAGTAGATGAGAGAGAGCTGCGGGGGTTCCCACTTAGGTCAAAGAAAAGTGGTAGGAGGAATAGTTAAACATAGTAATACCAATATGTATTTATCTGTATACTCAAATAGAAAATATATACATTCCTTTACTAGGATAGCCCCTGCACTTACAAAGAAACATTCTTACTCAAAAATGACATACACAAAATGATGTAGCTATGATACAGTTTATTCTAATGTACTAAACTAATAAAATAACAGAACAACTCATTTCTTTGGGGAAAAAAACAAATTCTATATATGCAGGATTGGCTGGATTGACCATAATGTAAAATATATTAAAAATATTTAAGTACACCACACCTAATAAACCTTTCTATGTAAACAGTAGATACTAGCTTTGCTAAATGACCAGACATTTGGAAAAATCAAAACACGGTTGTAAAACAGATACGTAAGTTAAGGTTCCTGGAAACTTAGAAAAAGACTGAATTGTTATGCTTTTACCTGTACAAAAAAGATTCTTCAGCCTTTCATTTTCACCTGTATTTTCTTTAACAGAATTAAGCCCCAAATTTAAAGGCTTAAATTCTTTTGTCCTAATGCCTCAGAAATATCAGATTTTCCTTCAAACCTGTTGCTGTCTAAACAGGAGCAGACCATTTGAAGGGTGGGAAAAACAAAGATATACAGATTTCACTTCTGTGCTACGCATGCAGATTTCTGCTGAGGAAGAGTTCCTGAGTTGGCTACCAGTTCACTCAACTTAGTTCAAAAACATAATAGCTGGTTACAGGATTCAACTGGCATTCTTATAGCAGCAGCAGCTCTCTTTATCACCGAAAATCAGTTAGTGACATTCAGCCCTTAGCTTAATCTGCACAAATGCAATTTGGGAATTCTGTGGTATGACGTTTGCATATTTAAATGTAAAATGCAAATTTCTGAATATGAAATAATTTATTTTTTAAATATACAAGTTGTTGTGTTTTCTCTATAATTACGTTTTCCATTAACAAATGAAAACCAAAGTGGCAAAAGGAGCTGAAAATTTTGAATGTTCCAAAATGAGAGAACGGGAAAAATTTCGTATATAAAGACATGACTGAGGTAAGCTTAAACTGTAAGAATAATTGTTTATTATTGTATGTAACTGAACAGCAAAACAGCCCTGTCTGAAAGCACTGGATCAGTCTTCCTGAGTCCTTCCAAGTCATGATTCTACATGGCTACAAGGAAATATTTTTAATAAATGCAATTTGTCATCAAACAACTAGTTTTTACATTCTTAAATAACCAACTTTACTATAGCAATGATTTAAATACATGTGCTGTTAAAACAAAAGTTATAAACATACTCTGAATTTTTTTCTTTGCCTGTCAGATAATATTAAAAAGAGATTCCACAACTTCTTGATTCCCTAAGAACTAAGAACCAAAACACTAAACATAATAAATAAATATGAAACCTGGAAGCCAGGAAAAGGGGATAGAATACTGAATATAATAAACCAGTGTATTAAAAATCCAGTATTTCAGTATTAAAATGTCATCTCAGTACAGTTAGGTTTATTGCTACGATAAATAAGCTTCATGTTAAGGCACCTGTAATCACCTCTGAGAAAGATTTGGATTCAAAACAAAGGGAATATGCAATATAAAACTTTTTTTCTTGCATTCTGATGTCACTACCGATATGTTATCAATTTCAAATGTAAGTTTTTGTATGGCAGTAGATGAATGTCTTTGAACATATTTCCTGAATATAGTTAAAATGTTTATGATACTATGATACTTTAATGAATGTATATGGTACCTTAATTAAAGTATGTGATAGTTTAATGGAAAAATAGGGAAAACGAAGTAAAGATGGATGGCAAAGGACTAAATATCAGAAATAAGACAACTTCTAAGAAAAAAAAATATATTGTAGGGACAGTGAGTATGAGCAGATCCTGGCCAAGTCATTGAGCTTTGCTGAGCCTCATTCTCTCCATCTATAAATTTCAATCCTGGGCTTCCCTGGTGGCACAGTGGTTGAGAGTCCGCCTGCCGATGCAGGGGACGCGGGTTCGTGCCCCGGTCCGGGAAGATCCCACATGCTGTGGAGCGGCTGGGCCCGTGAGCCATGGCCGTTGAGCCTGTGCGTCCGGAGCCTGTGCTCTGCAGTGGGAGAGGCCACAACAGTGAGAGGCCCACGTACCGCAAAAATAAAAAAAAAAAAAAATTTCAATACTACCTGCTTTGTCAAGCTCATAAGGCTGTTGTGAGATCAAATGAGGTGATGCAAAAACACTCGGCAAACTATGAAGCCTTGAACAGATAAATGGTATTATTATAGGCCAAAATAGCTCAAGTTTCTGATATCCTCTCTAACAGATAAAGTTATGGCCTGTTCCTTTTGCATCCACTTGAAAACTCCCAGTTTTAATCCATTAGATAGTTGTGGAATGAATGGAGCAAAAATTTATGCAAAGAGAAAATTTCTAAACCTTATTAACCAGAATTGTATAAAATGATTTGCTGTGAGTGGGGAACCCACTGCTTGCTTGGGTTCAGGCTACCTCTTGACAGTTCCCTACGATAGAGGGAGCAGACTTCTCAGATGCTGGCCTTTCCTCAGTCTCCCTAACCATCTGCTATCATGCAGCAGGCATCGTTCCATAAAAGAATTAAGTCTCATAACAGCATATAAGAGTTGTGGGAGTATAAGAAATATAGCTGAGGTCAATCACAGGTACATTCCTCAGCTTGGCACAAAGTTGAAATGGTTCAATAATCCCTACCAGGTTCTCCCTTGCTTGGTCCACAGGCCCTTCCTCCATGTATAGAACGGTTATCTAGGCCAGCTTTTTCCAACCTATGTTCTGAAGAACAATAGTTAGGTGAGATGTTAACAGGTGAAAAACAGATCTTTGTTAAGTAGGTTTGCAATATGCAGGGGCAAATCAGTTTATGTACTGCAGAATTTCTCAGTCTTTGATGTACTGACTATACATTCTAAAGGGGAATGGAGTGTACAATATTTCCCAAACTCATTTGACCACAGAATCTCTCCCCACCACCCCACAAAATATCTAGAGGGGCTAACAGCTTCTACAATACTCTTTGGGAAATGCTATTCTAGCTAATTCACCCTGGTTTTAAACATTCCAGGGCTATGTCTGGCTAAAATTACCCTTTTAATTTCTGAAGGAGCAGAATCATTTTGCTTACAAGGTCAACTAGCATGATAACCTCCTAGATTCCACTCCATAAGTATCCTGCCCAAAGCAACTTAGAACTAAATTTCCTTAACTACACACTGAGAAATTCAAAGAAGTTATTCTCATGTTAATGAAAATTATAATCTTTTTAAGGAAATCTTTATGTTCTTCCTAAAACATTAAAAATACAAAGATCTAAGTCTAGATCTTAGGACCTAGAATCACAATTACTTTGAGGAGATGGGAGTATTTTATCACATCACTGCAATTAATACTGTTACTAACAACAACAATAATAATAATAGGAGGGGGAGATGGAAGGAGGAGGAGGCTGCAACAGCAGTATTGGCTAAGAACTTATTTTGCATCTTAATCCTCATACACACTTTATGAATTTAGGACCTACTATTACATTCCTTTTAAAGATAAGTACACTGAGGTTTAGAGAGATTAACTGATTTACCAAGGGTCACACAAAGTAGGACAGAATCTCAAACTCTTATCTGACCCCCCACGCCATGCTCTTAACAAATATAATGCCATCTTTTATTTTAGTGATGAACAAAAGCATTTAGAGGTCATACTCTGACTGTTAAACAGGAAGATTAAAGCATATTTCTATAAATGCAACTTGATTGATATTTGGATTTCCTTTTGAGCAAACTCCTGTGCCCTAAAGAAGATGTTTTAGGTTTTTTTTTTTTTTTTAAGCAGAGAAAAATAGACTGCTATTTACCAATGATAAGTTTAGATATGTATGGGGAGGGTTTTAAAAATCTGCATCTAAGGTGAAGACATTATCTGTAGTTTCCGCCATGACTGCAAAACGTTGATACTCTGAAACTCGTTTCTCAAAGAAATTTGTTTTCCCCTCTAAAGAAATGTTTTCCATAAAATCAAAGGGATTTTCTGCTTGAAAAACCTGAAAAGAAAAGAAATATTGTTAGACATTCTGAAGAAGCCAAATTATATCCCACAAGAAGAACAATAGATAACTCAGGTCTCCCAACACCTGTCTAGTCACCTTAAGATCACACTATTCCCTAGGGTCCTGGAAGCACTCAAGGCTGATACATTTTAAGATGACTAAGATCACCTATTAACCTCTTAAAGAAACTATACGAGCATCTCTGGTATTCAAAGAAGCAGAAAGAAAAAAAAAGACTATTTTAAAATGGAAATGAAAGATTTAATGCCAAACTAAAATGACTAAAATGTCTTCACAGCTTGAGAAATCTAAAACACCATAGGTATTATAGGCATTTTTCACAGGTATTACCATTAGATAGTCACATCTACATGATACTACAAAATATTAAATTACCAACAATGTACTGTGGACATAAATATGTTTCTTAGTTCATAAGAGAACATATAATCATCAAATTGATGTTAAGGGACCATGATTGGGGAAGACAGAATAAATGCTGTCCATAGTAACCCCAAACAAAAAGTGGCACATAAGTTGACAAAACTTTTTTACTGCTTCTGAATTCAAGAGGCAGGCCTGGAGATAAAGCTTGATGGAAATGGAGATATTTCCGTGATCCATGAAAAACAATAAAAGAGGATTTTTTTAAATTAGGAATATTCCAGCAGGAATTAGGAATACCACAGATAAGAATATATTCAAATAACCCAATTAAAAATGGGCAAAGGATCTGAATGGACAAACGTTTCTCTAAAAAAAGATATACAAGGGCCAATAAGCACATGAAAAGATGCTCAAAATCATTATCCATTAGGGAAATGCAAACCAAGACTACAATGAGATACCATTTCACACCTACTAGGATGGCTGTAATAAAAAAGACAACTTATTGTGGTCATCATTTCATGATGTATGTAAGTCAAATCATTATGCTGTACACCTTGAACTTATACAGTGCTGTATGTCAATTATATCTCAATAAAACTGGAATGAAAAAAGATAATAAGTGTTAGTGAGGATGTGGAGAAACTGGAACCCTCATATACTGCTGGTGTTAATGTAAAATGATGCAGTGGCTTTGGAAAAGAGTATGGTAGTTCCTCTAATGATTAAAAACAGAGTTACTATATGACCCAGCAATTTCACTTCTAGTTATATATCCAAGGTAAATGAAGACATATGTTCACACAAAAACTTATACATGAATGCTCATAGCAGTATTATTCATAATAGCCAAAAAAGCAAACCATCCAAATCTCCATCGACCGATAAATGGATAAATACAATTTGGTATAATCATACAATGGAATATTATTTGGCCATAATAAAGAATAAAGCACTGATACATGGTAACATGAATGAAATCTGAAAACATTATACTGGCTTTGTATATACCATATACCAGTATATGGTATGTGTCATATATTGTATGATTCCATTTATATGAAATGGGATTTATAGAACAGGCAGATCTAAAGAGACAAAAAATTAATAATGCCTAGGGCTATGGTGGGGATGGAGGAAAGAAAAGGAAATGACTGATTGCTAATGGGTATAGAGTCTCTTTGTGGGGTGATAAAAATATTCTCAAAGTGTTGTGATAGCTGCACAACTCTGCAAATATACTAAAACCATTGAATTGTACATTTATTAATAGGTGAACTGCATGTTCTGTGATTTATATCTTAAAAAAGCTATATGTATTTTTTTTCCAAAAAAAGTACATATGCTGGGTGTGGTTGAGCTGTGGAACTCTGTGAAATTGCCTGTCAGAAATACTGCTAAGAGGCGGTGAAAAGGTGAGTTATCACTCACAGCAGGATACAGTGGAAAGAGCACAGAACAAGTCATAGATTCACTGGATTTTAAAACTGGGTATCTTCCAAAAAATCTGATCCAAGTCATTCATGTCATGGACAAAGTAACTAAGACCAACCTAAATTAAGTAGCTTTGTTTTGACACATAGAAGTACTCAAATATTTATTGACTAATCCAAAACTAAAAGAAAAGTTGAAAACAACATTAATGTGGCTTCTATTTAGAATTCTGTATAAATGACAACCATTTGCTAATTTAAATAATCTCTTATTTTACCAAAAACTAGCATTATAAGAATAATTCTTTTTGTAGTTCTTTGAGTTCAAAGTTTAGTTGATGTATTTAAATTGTCTTGCTTTCTTAATAGACATTCAAGGCTACAAATTTTCCTCTGAGGATCTGTTTGGCTGCATTTTGCAAGTTGTGATATATAGTAATCTTAATGCCATTTAGTTTATATTTTCTATTAGTTTATATTTTCATTTTTACTCTCATTTTAAAGAATATAGTCTCAACTTCTAAGAAGATGGAACTTTTTGGTAATCTTTCATTGTTAATTTCTAATTTTATTGCATTAAATCTAAGAGGTCAGTATAATCTGCTTTTTGAAATTTATTGAGATATTTTGAAGGCCTGTGGAAAAATAATGTTTTATACTACATCCAGATTTTCTTCTTAGGAGGCATGTTTTATATATCTAGAGTTAGCAAGTTCCCAAAGGAAAAACTAGACTCAGGGGTGTGTAGTTTTCCAATAAGCAGGAGAATGTGGATGTGTGGGTGTGAGGATATGGTGGTGGGTTAAAGGATAGTGAGTTCACTTTAAGGTTTAAGTAAACAAATTAACTTTCCTATAACAAACATATTGTATAACTTAGGAAAAAAAACAATTTCTTTTAATACATAGTTTATAAATTTCAGAGATCATATTAATGTAATTATAAACTTTATTTCTCTCACTAATGATCAGTAAAAAGAGAGGATCTTGCAACTAAAATATATAAATAGTGATATTTTACAGTTTATAATTACAAAAAATCTTTGCCCCATCTGACTTTTTCATCACAGTATTTTTGTAGTTACCAGAAAATAAATGTATTACCAAGAAAGGTAATGATTACCTCAGCATCATGGATTTCATAATTCTTCTCATTAATTTAAACTTCCATTTCCATGCTGAGAAATCAAAACCTATAATTTCTAATTAACATATTATAGTACATAGTAAATTTCTGTGAATGTTCCACTTATGATGAATACAACATGACCATTTAGTGTTCATTTACTATATGTCTGACACTATTTTAAGTGCTTTAAGTATACCAACTCATCAACAATAATCTGTAGTAGGGATTATTATTATCTTCACTTTACAGATGAGGAAACTGAGACAGTTGTTAAGCAACTTGCCTAAGGTCACATTGCTAGAAAGTGGTGGAATCAGGATTCAAACCCAGGTAGTCTGGCTGCAGCCTCCACCTCTTAAGTCATGTGAAAAGCACACATGAAAATTCAGGTACATTATCTCTGATAAACAAAATGACAGAAATAACTTAAAGACAACTGAGTTCAAAGAGTCAAATTATGACAGTTAATGTCTTCCTAATAATGATTTCCTATTTAAAAGCATTAACCCACAAATTATAACACAGACACATGGGGATTTATCTGAGGGTAAACATATATTTGCATATTGAATCCAATTACTTAAAGATAGTCCTGTTAAACAGATACCTACAATTATGTATTACAATGTAATTTATTGAGCTTATTAGTTCTAAGATTTATCAGCATGTACTTCTGTTATGAATTTCATTTAAGTTTCATTTAAGGATTTTGTAAAATCAATTTGTTGATGTAAAACAAGGCTGTTGTGGACAATTAAAAAAAATAGACTAGTATGTTACAAAAGCTTTCAGTGAAATATAGTACGTATTTTAGAGGCCTTACCTCACTATAACATTTTAGCTAGCAGTGATACGTTTTAAACACCTTACCTTTGAGAATCCAAGTTCTGAAAGCAATCTGTCAGCTACAAATTCAATATACTGTTTCATCAAAACACAATTCATTCCGATGAGGCCAACTGGCAAGGCTTCTGTTAAAAACTCCTGAGATATAAAGAAAAACAGAATAAAGTAGAAAGAAAGAACAATAAATTGTATGTGTTTTCCAAATAAAAAGAGGGTTCTAATTTTATTAATCTTCTAAGTCATTGATCTTGTTCAAGGAAAGTACACTAGGATAAATTCTTTCAACATGGCAAACAACGCTCATTTGCTTAAAAATGTTTGGGGTGTTACTATTCACATTATTATTTCACATTCTCATATAGCCAAAGTAAATTGAAACTATTACACTACCGGCATTTTTTAAAGTAGCACTTACAGGACCTGAATTTTTATGCTTTCTCAATAGAAAAAAAGGAGATACTTTGTTCTGAAATACCCAGAAAAAGATTCACCTAAGATGATTGTTGTGGGGAACATGACTATGAAAGGGAACTGGGAAAGAGAGAAAGCTCAATTAATAGAGAAAATGAGAAAGAAATAGAAATGGATCTGGGAATTGGGAGATAAACTGAACGCCAATTATATTGAAACACAGTGGTAAAGTTTTAATAAAGAAAAAAAAAACATATTAACCATTTGGATTTAGTTCTAAAAGTGATTCAAGATTTATGCCTTTTCTCTCTTCTCAATATGAAAACTATGGCTGTTAAAGTATGCACTATTAAAAAGAAGTTTAAAAACTTATTTTACTTTTCAACTAGTTCTTTAAAATGATAAAAGTACTCTAAGTGAAGCATCCAGGTCTTTCTAGTTAGAGATCTTTACATGCCCTAAATCATACTTTACTATTCACTAATTCATTTATTTATTCATTCTGTGAACATTTGATGCATGCTTCAAGCTAGATACCCTGCTAGTTTAAGAATACAAAACAAGAAACCATCACTGCCCGCTAGCAGCTAAAAACCTAGAGAGCTAAGATAATTAAAATAGTTTGTTATGGCATGAAATTTGACAGATCAATGAGACAAAAAAATAGTCCTGAAACAAATTATAGTATACATAAGATCTTAATATATAATAAAGACTGACTTATAAACCAAATTATAAGTTGACATAATAACTGCAATACATCATCTATTGGTACTGCCAGGTTGACCATATAATATTGCTGACACCTATTTTGACCTACAAAATGGCAATTTCATGTGTCAACCTAATGAAATAATGGTACAAACATCAAAGAAAGAGAGATGTGCTAATTATGTAAGCTTTCCTGCTTACCTGCTCAATTTCAACAGCATTAACAATGATCTCCCTAACCCTTTCTTCTGAAGGCTTATTTACTAAGTATTGAAACATCAGGCAAGCAAAGTCACAGTGAAGCCCCTAAAATAGAAGAAAAATATCACTGTCAAAGGACGTTTAATCAGCTATTTTCCACACAGTGATGCATCAGGCATTATATAAAGTAGTTAGGAATGCAACACCGAACTTCTGGAAGACAGAAGAAGGATTAACAGGGTCAGGAACTTCTTTTCTTCAAGCCTTATTAAAATGCCAATTATAATAACCTATAATGAAAAATTTTCAATGCCAGCAAATCTCAGTTCATTAACATGAAAGAAGAATTAATTAACAACAAATCTGCAACCAAAAGCATTTTGGAAAGGAAAACAAAGAAGAATCAAAATGCAAATTCGCTCATTTTTAGTGTTTTTTAAAAAATTAAGAAATGATTGAAAAACAATTAAGTATTTAAAGAACAGGTGAAACTCACAGATTTCAAAAACACAAGTTATATTAAACAAGAATGGCTCAAGATAGAAATAAATTCAGTGTAATGAAAATGGAAACTGAAGAATTAAGGATACCATCTGAAGCTGTATAAAGCAGAAATGACATTGCAGATAACTCAACGACAAAAGAAAGCAAAATTGTGAAATACCTTGAGAACAGAATAGTTATGCAAATATATGAAGTGATATAGAAATTAAATAATTGGAGAACAGAATAGTTATGCAAATATATGAAATGATATAGAAATTAAATAATTGGAGAACAGAGCAAGGAGATTCAACCTACAATAATCGGGATTTCAAAACACAGAACAGATGGTATAAAGCTGAAAACAACAGACGAAAATTTCAAAAAAAACAAAAAGAGAAAGGTCAGAGACATAGAAAGATGATGGAGTTCTAAACAAAATTAACAATTAGAGACAGACAACAAGGCAGAGTCAATTAACATTTCTAAACTACAAAGAAAAAGAAATGAATCTGTAAGCCAACAAGGGAGGAGAAGGTGGAAGGACTACACACTTTAGAGGATTACAAATCAGAGCTGCTTAGCTTTTTCTAAATGAAACAACAAAAACCCAGACAATTGAAAGATAAGACTCAAATCAAGGGTTGTTTTCCAAGGATTATTTACCTAGTTAAATTGTTATTCCCAGAAGAAACCATTAGGAAAAAACCTCTTTAAATAGCTAATCTTAGAAAATTTACTAGTGAAACATACCCCCTCCACTTGACTCAAGAGGATATTTCAAATTACCAAAGGCTGAATTTCAAATGAACTGCTGAAAGGTGACAACGTAGTGTTGATTAGAACCGACAGCTAGCTACCTATTACAGAGATGAGTAAGTCAAAGGCAGGCACTTGTAATTGTTAAATCAATAAGGGAATAAAATTAATTTCGAGGTTTAAAGCGACTCTAATCAAAATCCTAGTGGGGTTGTTTTTAAGTTAAAAAATTAATCTGGAAGACTAAATGGGCAGAATCTTTTAAGAACACTTTAAAAATAAAACTTATGAGATTTAGCCTACTAATTATCAAAACATAAAAAACTACAGTAATTAAAATAGTTTATTATGGCATGATATTGACATATAGGTTAATGAAAAAGAAAAAGCCCTGAAACAGATTTTAGTATACTTGAAGTCTTAATATATAATAAAGAAGACATCACAAGTCAATGGAGAAGGAAGGATTACCTAAAGAGAATTGGAAAAACTTCCGAAGAGTGTGTGAAATAAAATTAAGTTACATTCTAACTTATCCTATGCTTTATTTATATTACATTCCATACTTGTACTAAAGAAATTTCAATGACATTAAAGAGTTAAATGTTCAAAACCAAAGTATGTGTGACTATTTAACTCATCTCTGAAAGTAGATCCCACGAATTTCAGGGTTTTGTACATTAAAAGAACAAACAGGGGACACACAATTTTTGAGGGCAGGAGCCCACTGTGTCCCCCTTTGCCTGGCAAAGTAATAGAGCTATCCTCTTCTACTTCACCCAAAACTCTGTCCCCTGAGATTCGATTTGGCACGGGTATACAGAGAGGCCAAGCTTTCGGTAACAATTTTGGTGATCACCAAGGGACTGCCTCGGGGACGGTCCGGGGGGGTGTCCCTAGAAGCCAGATCACCTGGGACGCTTGCCTGGAGGCCGAGCCCCCAGTCATAACCCTGTCTGCCATCCTGGCAGCTGGAACTCTGAGGTGGGAATAGACAGAGGAAGAGGGACCGCCCTAGCAACTGCCAAGGCCCTTTTTGCCTTGAGGACATTCCTCTCTTCCTCTCTTCCTCCTGCCTGGACCGCCCTGGACGTCCTACTCCTAGGAATTGTTTTGGGGAAGCAGAAAAGATAGCGTCTGATGTCGCAACACCTCTGCCAGAATCTGGGTAAGTCCCTGGGAGTGCACTCCCAGGCTCCTTCAATTTTGTCCCTCTGAAGAACTTTTGGTTCCATCTGGGGAACGTTTGGTTCCCATCTGGGGATTTTCTGTTTCAGAAATCCCACCTGTAAGGCGCAGCTTAGACAAAGGTCATGGGATAAGTAGGACTTGGAAGCAACCACTCTGAGCTTTGTGCTGTCTGTTTTTTTCTGGCATAAGGCTTCCGTCTGCTGGCGAGGGTTCTGTTTTGTTTTCAGTCCGCTCGTGAATGTTCTATCAATCAAATATAGGAAGTGCTCCTTCTTTTTCTTCTCCTTCTTCTTCTTTTCCTTCTCCTCCTTCTTCCTCCTCTCCTTCTTCTCCGTTTTCTTTTTTTCTCCTTCTCCTTCTTCCTCTTCCCCTTCCCCTCCTTCTCCTCCTCTTTCTCCAACTGATAGCCCCCTGGGAAAAATCTTGGCAGACTCAACGACCTATAGTTCTAAACCTATAACTAGGAAAAAAATGAAATTCTATTGTAATTCTGTTTGGCCAACGTACGTTCTTGAAAATGAGGAAAGATGGTCTTTGTTTTTTTTCGTTGTTGTTGTTGTTTTTTGCGGTATGCGGGCCTTTCACTGTTGTGGCCTCTCCCATTGCGGAGCTTAAGCTCCGGACGCGCAGGCTCAGCGGCCCTGGCTCACGGGCCCAGACGCTCTGCGGCATGTGGGATCTTCCCGGACCAGGGCACGAACCCGTGTCCCCTGCATCCGCGGGCGGACTCCCAACCATTGCGCCACCAGGGAAGCCCAAATGAGGAAAGATGGTCTTTGAATGGTAGCCTAAATTATTATACTATTCTCCAGCTAGAGCTGTTTTGTCATAGGAATAGAAAGACAGGAGAAATTCCATATGTTCAAGCATTCACGCAGTTACATAATAAAAGTGAGCAGCTAGGTAACAAGCTGATGGTACAAAGAGAAAGGAAAGTCATTTTGCCTAGAGCTGGTTGTTTCTGAAGGGAAAAGAAAATAAGGAAGACTGAGAAAAGAGTTGTACATGTTTTGTTCATGGGACCATGTTTGTTGTAAGTATGCATGTCAGTACATTGACCGGTTGAGACGTCTTTGAATAACAGGGCTCACGTGTGACAACATCAGGGAATCCGTCCTATTGTGTCTGGTTTTGCCTGTGGCAGAATGTTGGTTGGGATTTTCCCTTCTGGACTAGCCTTGTTATGGGTGATCAGAGCTCTGTTCCATCTTATAACACCCCACCCAGGGTATTTTTACAAAATTGGAAGATCTTCAGCTATTCCCCCATGAAAAGGAATTGTTATTTCTCTCCCCCTGTGCCTGGGCCCGCCAGAACACGTATTTTATCTAGACCATCTCTAGTTCCTGAGACTGAAGAAAAAGGCAGGGAAAGAAGGCCTTTTTAAACTCAAGCAAAAAAATTCAGATCTCTGGTTCAGTCTTTACATAAAAGTTAACCTGTAAATGAGCTCTATCTAATTGACTTAAAAGTAAACACTTACAAATTATATCTAAATGTCTAGAAAAATGGCCAAGATAAATTTTAGGACCACATGATCTGGGAAATATTCAGTACTGAATTAATATCTGCTATTGAAGGTGGCTTAAGCTTGTTGGTTTGATTAATATAGACATGTCTTTAGAGTCATCAATGTTAAGTAATGCAAGTGAGATAAGAGCTTTTGGGTAAACTCTTTAGGAATAATTCTCCATAAGAAAGCACATGTTTTTAAAGTTGTGCATGATCAGGATTTTCAAAGATTGGGTTAAATCTATTTGGGTAAATGGATTTTGTTGGGAGTGGGCCAGGGCAAGACCAGATTCCTATTTGCCCTTGAAATCTGTTCACTTTGTATAAAATGAGTAAGTATTGTTTGGCAGTTTCTAAAGGTTCTTTTGATCTCCAGCTAACTTTGAGATTCTTCAGAGGGCCCCTGAGGCATCTCAGAGAGAAATATTTAACTAGGATTATTTGGTATGTTAAATTAAATGTAATCAGTCAAGTTAAATGTAATCCTGGTTATTGTAACCAAGTTTCTTTACCAATTACATTGCAGTCAGATGCTTAACTGAGCCCTTTTAAGTTTTTCTGCTGCTGTACTCTGATGCTTTTGCAAAGGTACTTCATCTTCAAGAAGACTTATGTGAAGGACCCCTTTTGACAAATACAGGTCTCTGATAAATTTCATATCATACAGCTGAGCTGGTTAAGAAATTTTAAAATCTTAATGGAGAATCTGATGGCTTCATAAAAAGTTAGCAAAAGGATTAGTTACCGAGTGGGCTGATAAATAACGTTTATGGTTTTCCCAGACATAGGGAAGCCCTTCCCCTCAAGCTACTTAAGACTTAGAACAATTGGGTAAATTACACCTCTGTAGGAAAAACTGAAATATTCTTTTATCTCTGCCTAGTCCCTCCAGAAATTGGAGACTCTTGGGTTATGAAAATGGGGGTAATTTTAGAGAAAAGGATTATGTTTCAATAGATATGAAATTCTAGTTCTGTTAATTGAAGTTTGAATTTATGAAAGTTGTTGTGTTAGTCACACTTTTGCCCTGATGTTTAGGAGGAAAGGAAAACTACCCAGTGAAGGTATCAGAGTGTAATTACTCATCATGTACCACTGCTTGTTTTAGGTCTATTGCTGAAAGCACATGTACAATGCTTGTGTGACAATTGGGTATAAAT